ATTTAGTTGTATTTAGAAATCGTAGTAACTTTGAATAAATCGGCTATGAAGATGCTACAAGCATTCAGTTCAGGTATCATTGTGCTGGATTTAATAGCGCAACATCTAAGCTTACATAATACATATTGAAACGAACGTTTTTGTACCCGGTACCCAGAAACGATCGATTTTCAAAATACTAAATGCCATGCAGGTTTGATTTCATCAAAATTACACCCTTGAAAAAGTCTTTTTACTGTGGTGAATTCTATCAGCTTTAACTTTCCGGCCAGGATTGTTAAACGATTGGATTGTGAATACAGTCGCATACAGGCTCTCAGCACAGAATATCGACCCCCACACGATCCAATGTGCACATTAAAATATAATCGTGCAGGAAGAAGATATCTTGCTGAAAGACAGTGACTCTGGTGAAATCTAGAAAAAACAATGGTGCCTTCAATATTCAATTCTATGGTATTGGTATTATTTCAGTTTACCAACATTAAAGAAAGGTAAAATGAGTACCCGGCATTTGTCAAGTGACTGCTTTCGTCGATCTAAGCCCATATATGATATCAATTCTTTGAACCCCTCGTTTGGGACAGATAGGTAACGGAGGTTAAATCCGTCTATTAACGTCAAATATTTTTTTTCGCGATACTTAGGGCTTTCGGCGGGCTTCCCCATGGCAGGGCTAAAATGATCGTCAGAAATATTCACGAATACCCCTAGAAGATGTCTAGCGAGAGGGGCGTGGTAACTCCTGAAAAGTCACTACGTATAAGATAAAAATGTATTTATCTGAATGTTTATGTTATCGTAAAAAGACACCCTTTAAAGGCACCATTCGATGCTATCATASCCGCCCGCCTACCATCTTAACCACCCAAACCCCTTACGCCTTTCTTTGCTCTTAATTTCATTGTGATTTTAGTGGTGTATCACGTTTCTACTTTAAAAGGGTTGCCGTCGAGCTCTGAACACAACGTCAAACTTCAGTTTGTTTTCCCAAGATGGCAGCTGCATCTATATGGAAGTGGGTGGCATTGYTTTTYATTCTACTCAGCCTTGGTTTACTCTTCGCACTCGCTGTCATTATTACAACTAAAGGYAGCAGTCAAGAAACCAAGAAAACGTCCGAAATTAATGTTTGTGGAGCCGGTAGTTCACTGCCAAACGTTGAAATATCTTCTTCAMCTGGTCTKTTCGACGATTTGACACCAGACGAGATGAACAAAGTCTACAATTACATGCACTCTGTCAAGTCACTCCAACTAAAATCGAGCAAAGAAGGTCAACTCAGCGACAATGTCATCGCTCTTATTAAGTTCTATCCGCCGTCTAAAGATGCAGCCTTGGCTTATTTGGATGAAGGCAAAGAAAAGCCAGATAGACAGGCTATTGTTGTGRTATTYAAAGGAGYRGYTCAGCCSCCGATAGTCGAGGAATACCTTGTTGGCCCAGTATYTGCACCGAATAAAYACGAGCTGCTGAGAGTAGACGGTCGGTCTTATCCTATCAACTTCGACGCAAGAATGGCGTTTTCTCCGCAAGAAGAAATACCATTTTACAATGAGATTGTTATACCACTGGGTACAAAAMTCCACCGTCTTTTTCATGAGAGTTATGACGGGTACACTATTATCAATTGCACGTCTACTAAGTGTTTGATACCCATCCAATCGGCGCCACTCGGKCTAACTAGTAACACGAGAGAAAATTGGTACACTTTGGCGCGTCTTCAAATAGCAGTTTACTCGAATCCTGTAAACTTTGAATTTTACTTGAATCATGCTGGTAGCAACTCGTCAAAATGGCGCATAGAAAAGTTGTTGTACAACGGGCAGCTTTTCAACTCTACTGAAGAACTAATGGATGCCTATGACAAGGGAAAACTCGTCAAGACATTTATTCCTGCCCCTGGAAAGGACAAAATCTTCTCAACTTACGAAAAACGAGGAAAGGAACAGCCTTCCAAATCCAGTCGAGGTCCTGAACAGTACGAGCCCGATGGAAAACGTTACTCTGTGAAAGGTAGACATATCGAGTACATGAACTGGGCTTTTGACTTCCGAGTTGATTCATCAAGTGGACTTCAAGTCTATGATGTAAGATTTGGAGGGGAGAGGATTGCGTACGAGATCAGTTTACAGGAGG